TCTAAGTATAAATTATAATACTTTATTTGCTTATGTCTAAAGTATGTGAAAAAATGACTTCATTATACACAAATTTTGCTTATACAACAACAGCACGAAGAAATTTTTTTTTTTTTTTTTTTTGTGAAAATAGAACCATTTTTTTCATTTTTGAAATTAAGATCAGGTAAAGATAAAAATTGCACTAGGAATAGACACAGTTGGAAATCAATCAACAAAGTTCAGAAATGTTTAGATTTTCTAGATATACAATTGTACTGTGAGTCACTCTCTCAAAGTAGCCACTAAAATTAGTCCCCCCATCATGTTTTCATTATAATGTCCTTGATAACAACATTCAAAATCCAATATATCTTGATGAAAGCGCTTGCCTTGCTCCTCAGAGTAAGCGCCCAGGTTCTCCTTGAATTTTTTAAGATGCGAATCAATGAAATGGACTTTCAGAAACATTCTGCATTCCATTTTGGTGTAATTCTTTATGAGAGTCTGCACCAACTCCACATAGTTTTTAGCTTTTTGATTACCTAGGAAGTATGAAAGTATAGAAATTACCTAGAAAGCCCTGAACAACTGAAGCAAAACTGCTCTCTCCGCTCTGTTTAACAAGTTTGCAAAATCTTCACATTCCATGATCTTCTTGATCTGTGGTCTGACGAATAGACCAGCCTTGACCTAAGCCTCTTTCTTTTTTGGAAAATGATCTTGGAGGTATTGAAATGCTTCTGACTTCTTGTCAAAAGCAGTGACAAATTGCTTAATGAAGTCTAACCTAACATAGTCGTCATACTTGCTTAATTAGGCCTAACCTAACGTAGTTGTCATAGTGCACTCAGCAATATTTTGACTAGTGTAGTCCTCTTTGAGATGCACAGAGTGAGTCATTGGGAGAGACAGGTAGTTGTTTCCATTGAGAAGGAACATGGCTTTGATGCTTCGGGATGAACTGTCTGTGAATAGGTGCCATTCAATACGATTACATGCAATACCTATAGCATGAAATAGACCAGCAACATTGTTGCAGAAACATAGCTCATCACTCTGACTGAAAAACTTAGAGAATCTTTGATGCCGCTTCCTCTGATCTGTGACCACTCTTTGAGCCTGAATATCAGAAGCTCAACATTCGGTTTTGTAAGTCTGAGGTCCCTAATTAAATAGTTCACGTCTTTCTGGTTAGGGAAGTACGGCTTTTTATCCCCAACTTTATCTGCCGAAGTATAGTCTATGTCTCCAGTATCTGCCTTGCTATCTGACTTGCTGCTGTCTCCTAAAGATGGCTGATGCCGCCTAGGTGGAAAAGGCAGATCGGGGTTGTGTGGTAATAAGAGTTACAATAATTTGAGGACAGAAAATTTCAAAATATGGAATAATTTCAAGATGGAACATATTTGCCTACAATACACGACTTATGACAAAACTTTGTAAATTACCTCTCCTTGAAATGAACTAGATCTAAAGAATTGAAATTTTATGAAAATAAATTAAAAATATCTAAGCCAGAAGCAACTGTTCAGTTTACTTTCAAGTGTTTTCTTGCTATATTAGCATGTGAAATGCGGTGCCCAAGATTTATCTTGGTCCCTAACCGGCACACCAAAGTATGCCTTGTAGGCCTCGCACATTATTTGACTTGTTTCCACGGAATACTTTTTCACTCTTGTTTTTATGAATCGTCTGCTCATGTAGTAGAATGAATTAACTGAATGCAAACAACCAAGGTTTTATGAGAACCTAATATTCATTTAACGAATAGTCTTAATTGTTTAACGATTAGAACTATTTGTTAAACTTTGGTTACAAAGTTTAACAAATATTTAGTATTTGGCTTTGTTTAACTTCAATTGGCGAAGTTAAATGAACTTTGATTGGCAAAATTAAATGCTTAATTTAAGTAACTTTGCTGATGTTAGAAAATTTTAGCAAATGTTAGAATAAAAAGTTTAATAACTTTGCTGATTTTAAATTTTTTAGGCACAAAAATATTTCTAATCCTTTAAGTTTAAAGGCTTTTTTAAACTAAGTTTAAAAGATTGTTTTTTGAAAAAAAAAAAACAATTTTTATCAGTCACAAAAATATTTCTATTGTTTTTCTTTGTAAATCAATTAATATAGATCCTAAAATCCCGTGCAATGTGTTTGTCCCGAAATCCTGGGATTAGTCTCCAAAATTTCCCAGGATTTCAGGATTGTCATAAAAAAAGTAAAACTACAAAAAGTTTAAGCTTAATTTGTAACTTTTTTCTTTTTTTTGATTTGTAACTAAGATTAAGTAAACTAAGATTTAAGTAATTTGTACATCATAAAATGAAAATATACTGCTTTATATAATATACAGTTATACTGCTTGGTTTTGTATCCTTTTTGCAATGTTTTCTTTTTATTCTCTCTCAATGTGTATTTTATGGGAAATGCAAAGCATTATTGCTTATCTGCAATATTATACTATATATAAATTTATTTATAAATGTTTAATCATACATATTTTGTATGATTAAATATATAAAATATGTAATTATAGTATAATATTAAAACTAATATATTATTAAATATAAATAGAATTTTAGCACTTGCTGCTCGGAAGATCATTTTTAATAGAATAAATTTTTATTTTGAATTTTCTAATTATTCTAATTCCAATGTTTGCATAATTTTAATTTCATTTTTAAGTCCACTCAATTTAATTACAAATGTGTGCGTGATTTACAAAATTTTTCTTAACATCTGTTTAATGAAGTTATCAAAATACAGAAGGTTAAATTACAAAAGTTTACTTAACATTCGTTTAATTAATGAAGTTATCCAAATACACAAGGTTTATTAATCCAAATTTTGGTTTGTTAAATTATTATTTTTAAATTTTGGTTTATTAATTAAACTTCAGTTATTATTTATTTATTATTTTAAGTAGAAATTGTTTTCTAAAAGTTTGAGGTTCAAATGATTCATTGTTAATTAATAAAACATCTAACATTAAAGTTAGGCACCAAATTATTGGTTATAACAAAAATGTCACTAAAATCGTAAAAATGTTTAAAAAGTTCCCAAACAAAAATGAAAATTATTTACAAAAGTACGTAAAAATTGAGTTTAGAAGGATCATCCATTTAATCATGGATTGCAAAATCCAATGGAGCATCTTGCTGCCTATGCTAGACTGATTAGTGAAGTTAAATTTAAAAGTGTGTTAAAATGGCACTTCTAGATTTAGAATTGGATTTCAACATCAATGATTCAATTAAGATGAACAAAAAGGAATGTAGAATTTAAAAGTGGAGAACACCATTAAGGAGCTTAGTATATCTTCATAGCCAGGTTACTTCGTAAAAAATTCCAGAAATTTTTCTACCATATACAAGGACCCAAAATAAAATAAAAATTATGATAAAGCTGATAAAGTGTTTAAACTCGGCAGATATATCAACAGCGGCAGACTTAAGTAGAATAATGTCAAAACAATTAAAATTAGCAAATTAAATAAATTGATGGAAAAAAGATTGGCAGCAATAGAAACACAACTTATAAGGGTAAAAAGTAACTTTTAAAATTCAAAAAAAAATACTGTTGTTTGAAAGTAGTACCTTATGATGTGATAACCTTTAAAAAAGATATGACTATATACTATCTATAAGGCCAACAAGTATAGAGTCTGATTGAGTTTTTATGTTCAAAACAGTTTTATGTTCAAAAAATCAAAAACGATTAAGCAATGAAATGATTGACATTTTGATTTTTTAGGGTAGCACTTTCAAAAATGAGTATAACTCATGTATATTCATGCATGTTCATATTATTTTTAGTTATTATTTTTATTTATACTGTGTTATCATTTTAAGGTATTGTTTTATAATTTGAATTACTTAGGTTCATTAATGAATGAAGTACTTTATTTATATCATAGTTAAATAATCCCTTTTAAGTATTTAATGAGTACTTAAAATGTTAGTTCTTCTTACACTTCACTTTTTACACTTGCGTTTTTTTCTATTCAATCCCAGGATTTCCCGGGGACAACATTTTCAATCCCAAAATACTGGGATTGAAAATGTCCGGGATTTTTGCCATCCCTACATGTAGTAGCATATTTTCTCCAAGGTTAAAGATTAAAAATGTCGATTGTTTCATTAAAATGCCATTAAAATAGAAGTAACAAGTAAATGATCCTTAAACCCATCTTCCAAATGTTTGCTAAAACACTTTATCAATGTAAGTGTGTTTTTTTTGACACAACTTTTTGTATCATACAGATGTTTTTCAATATCTGCATCTGGAAAATATTTTTAGAACTCAGCTCTATCTGTAAAGTACATACATTAGGGTGTTGATTTTTTGGTAAATGTTTGGTATCTCCAGTTTTCTGTACAAAACACAGATGAACTTTGGTTTGAAAGTAACTGAAAAGTCATTGGTTTTATTTAATTTTTTAAAAAGGTCACCCATCATGACCCTTGATTAAACACTGGCTCCCATATGTCAGTGAATTTTTTTTTTTTTCATTCATAATCTTTTTTACTAAAACTTTTTTTTTAAAAATATTGCTAACAAAATGTCATAAAATTTTAAATTGTTAGTTAAAAATCTTCTTTTTTTTTTGTATATAAAGTTTAAGCAATTCATTTTTATTTGAAACCCTTATTATTTCTGAAATCTCTATGAAATTTTGGTTCTTTTGAGACCCATGTTGATATACTTTTAGAGAAAAAAAAAATTCACTGATTTATGGATGCCAGTTTGTAATCTAGGGTCATGGTGGGTGACCTTTTTCAAAAATTAAATAAAACCAATGACTTTTCAGTTACTTTCAAACCAAAGTTCATCTGTTTTTTATACATGAAACTTGAGATACCAAAAAGTCAACATCCTAACATACATACATACATATATACATAATAACAAATCAAATGAAGTAAATTGAAGAAAATGTTCAAGTATTTGTTATAACATTGAGGGGAAAAAAATGAATAATAGTATTTTTATTTCCTGCTTGATTTTTTTTATTTCAGGATACCTGGAGTACTTAATAAAACGCAATTTTAGTCCTGGTACTAACAGTTGCTCGAATTATTCTGGGATATTCATTGATATAATTACACCAGAAGATGTAAAGTCTCGAGGGAGTCAGTTATCTTTAATATTTTCTAGTAATGCTACAGAAATATATACAGAAATTAAAAAGCGTGGTGTAGTGGTATGTACATTATTTTAAATAAGTTAAAATTTTTTAATGTTTCTTAAAATACAAAATAAAGTAATGTTTGAAGTAGTTAAATATACAAATTTTGAAATTTTTAATTATAACTATGAACAAAAGCTAAACATTTCAGAAGGTAAACATTTCAAAGTATTTAGAAATTAAGAAAAAAGTAATTTAGTGTTATGTAATTAAAAATTGCGTTTGAATATTACATGTTGCTTTTTACATTTGCATATTGCATCTCTATTAATTAACTTTTTTGAATTTTATCTTAACTTTTTATGAATTTTAACTTAACTTTTTTGAATTTTTGATAGCAATCACTTCTTAATTAAACATTTTGAAAATTTGAACTTTCTACTTTAAACTGTTAATTAGAGTTATTTAACCACTTTCTTTTTGTCTCAAGTGGTTTTTCAAATTCTATAAACAAAGCCTATGCACAATTGATCTAGAGCAACTGGTTAACTATAAGCACTTATACTCTTGACCTTCTCATCATAAAATGTGTCCAAATATAGTTTTTTGTAATACAGGTGATTTAATAAGTATCATACATCATTATGTTGTTCAAAATAAATAAAATCTTTTTACAAAACTAGGTAAAAAGATGACTATAAGAACACAGAAATTCGTACATCATAAAAACAACTCAATCAACAATGAATACCCAGAGTTGAATGTTAACTTTGTGAGAAAATCATTCACCCAATTCATTAAGATTATTATGTCCTGTGCTTTTGATAAGAGAAACAGAAACAAATCTAAGATCTATTGTATCTTTTTCGTCCAATTGCAAACAATCCAAAAAACGATTTATGGTATGTGCTTACTGTTCTGCAGCTATCACCATGTTAATGTTTAAATACAAGACACATTGAAGGATTTTAAATTCTAAACAACCTATTAGCAGACTTAATGGTGAAAACTTATCAGTGGATTTAGGGGTGCAACTGCATACTTTGTAATACCAAATTTACAGATTGGAGAGATATATAGAGAACCTGTTAAGAGTTTCTAATCAATAAAAGAAAGTTTGTGTAAGTTTATTTGTAAATTCTTCAAAGAACTAGTTTTATAAAGACAGTGATATTTCTACTAAAGCTGGAGTTTTCCTGAAATAAAGCCACAAAGTCTGACCAAAAAAATGGAATTTGCTTATTTTTTGAAAAATGGAATTTGCTTATCTTTGCAAAGTCTGACCAAAAAAAATAGAGTTTACTTATTTTTAAAACTTCTTTATGGATTTTATATACAGTCACAATCAAAAGTTTAGAGCAGTGTACAATGGGCCAATGATGTCAATTCTATTTTCACTTAACCAACTATTTACAAGCATGACCCTGTGACAGGGTGCTCAATCATTAATAGGTATTTTCTGCAAATTTTAAAAATGTTTCACATTTTTGATTATGACTGTGTATATATGTACATACAGTAAAAGAATTAGAATGATGAGTAACACAAGAATGAGTTTTAGTAGATGGCACAAGAGATGCAAGCTTTTTAGAGCAGTGTCTATTATATAAAAGTGAAAGATAAGTAATATTACGAAAATGTGATAATTTTAGAGAGATCAAACTGTGATCAAAAGCACCTAAAGGCTAATGTGGAGAAACTGAGTACTGACTAACATCAGAAACAAGACATAAATTGAGTAGGTAAGGTAAATGATTCAGATTGTATGCAAAGCATGTTGGAAAGTTGACTATTTGTTTTAGAGATCAAGAAAGGCAAAAGTTTTGGGCCTTAAGGCCTGTAGAGTAACCAACACTAGAGCCAAGCCATTTAGTGTGATGATCATTAATCCCACCAACAACAACAAAGTTGGCTAAAGGATAAAGATAAAGGAAGATAAGAAGATGAGAAAGGATAAAGAAAAAGGGCTCTGTCAATTTATTCAGAAATAACATGAAAAAAAGTGCAGTCTTGAAATGAAGGAAAGCAGTGTAAAACCAAGAGAAAACTGATAAAATGAAGTGGTATAAACGAAAAAACATAAAAGAATAGTCTGTCGATTCAAATTTAGTGTTCGGACAAATTGGCAAGTTCTTACAAATGTAAATGCCCAGGCGAAGCATATGAGTATTAGAGTTTTTACGATTTAAAGAAAGATAGCCATCAACACTAAGATCACAAGATGAGACAGCTGAACTCAAATTAGTCTCACTAAGAGCAAGTAGGTCTGGTGAACTTTGCAAGAGATAAGACTCAGCAGAAGAAAAGTTACTTCAAAGACCACAAATATTAGTGAATGATAGGTTTAGAGAACATGGTGACGATGATAGCTTTTATTTTATTTGTATTTTATAGTTTTTTGTACTTTTTTTTATTAATAATGGTATATATTTTTGTTAATAAATTCTTTTAACACAAAAATAAGAAAAAAAAGTAGAAAGTAGACTATGCCTGAACAGCCTGTTTAAACAGACAATTGACTATATGCAGTTTCTTTTCTTTTCTTGGATTTATTAAAGAACTTGACTCAAAGCACAGATAGTACACTATTTAGTATTCTAAGCAATTTCCTCATTACTATTAATAAACCCTAAGTCGTAACAAAGGGCTCGAAATGTGACCTTGAAAATGCACAACAAAAATACAAACAAGGACACCATCCATATGTAACATGACATTGTTAGTACTCAGATACTTTACAACTGTTGATGAACTCAGTCTTTCTGAGAGCTACCACAGAGTACCACAGAGTTCAGGAAACCTGATTCTCAGTTGGCCTCAGAACCCTAAAACTGAGTTTTAGAGCTGTACTCTCATTAGGAGATTATAGAATGAGTTGTGTTTAAAAACAAGACACAAGCTAAATCCATGCATTGAGTCAAGAAGATCTAGCATTTAACATCCTAAACTGGAAACATTGTATTATAAATACATCTATGCCAGCCTAGTAATTAATAAAGGGTGTGAAGCTTGTTAACAGAATCTGTTTACCTCTTAAGTCTTTGTCTAGGAGTCCTTCTATAAGACAGTAGCCAGATGCATTTAATGTCTGCCCAAGATGAGCATTTTTATAAAGACACCATCTCTAGCCTATATGCAACCAAGAGCTCTAAGTCATATATATATATATATATATATATATATATATATATATATATATATATATATATATATATATATATATATATATATATATATATTCTTCGAGCATCGCATTAGCAATAAATTTGTAAAAATTTTAATAAAAATCACAATATTTTTTATTCTTGACATAATTCGTAGTCTTACTACATTTTCAAAAGATTTAATTTACAATTAAAACTCTGGTAAATAAATTTAAAAATTAAAGACAATACAGAGAAAAAATTAACGGACAAATAAACTTGTTACAAAGCAATTAAAAATTATATTACAAATTATGACAAAATAACTTCCTAATATTAAAATATTAATAATAGTAATAATATAGTAAGTTAGATAGATAAATTTATAATATAATGAGATGTTTGTTTATTTAAAGATGGATTTTCCCATTTAATATGAAGTGCTTCTTTTATTTTTAATTTGTTAATGGTAGAGGCAGTATCCAAAATCTGAAAGCAATCATAATTAGTTAGTGTTTTACAATTAATGGATGAATTTAAATATTTCAAAATATGCGATTGCTTGTCACTCGTAAGGTGCTCATTTATCCTTGTTGTCAAATGTCTGGAGGTTTCTCCAATATAACTGGCGTTACAGCTAGCACAAGAAAATTTGGTTAAGATGCTTAAATCTAACGTTGTCTACAAATTTTCTTGTGCTGGCTGCAACGCCAACAAGGATAAATGAGCACCTTACGAGTGACAAGCAATCGCATATTTTGAAACATTTAAATTCATCCATTAATTGTAAAACACTAACTAATTATGATTGCTTTCAGATTTTGGATACTGCCTCTACCATTAACAAATTAAAAATAAAAGAAGCACTTCATATTAAATGGGAAAATCCTTCTTTAAATAAACAAACATCTCATTATATTATAAATTTATCTATCTAACTTACTATATTATTACTATTATTAATATTTTAATATTAGAAAGTTATTTTGTCATAATTTGTAATATAATTTTTAATTGGTTTGTAACAAGTTTATTTGTCCGTTAATTTTTTCTCTGTATTGTCTTCAGTTTTTAAATTTATTTACCAGAGTTTTAATTGTAAATTAAATCTTTTGAAAATGTAGTAAGACTACGAAACATGTCAAGAATAAAAAATATTGACATTATTTAAGATTATTTAAGCTATTAAAAATAAACCAAAAAGGGAAATGACTTGAAACTTCTTAGAAATTTGGAATACTATTACATAATTTAGTATGCAAAAGTACAGTATTGAAGTCTTATACTTTTTTCAAAAATTAACTTTGCGTAGTGTGACAGTCGTAATGTTTACTTTTTACCACTTCTGAACAAAACAGCTTTGTCAAACTAATTGGAGCGAACGGCATGGTAAAAAAAAATCATTTGGTGTGTGTATTTAGCACATATTGATGTTATTATATGCTGAGTTTCATAGTTTTTACTTGATGCTTTATAAGCATTTCTATGGTTTTTTTGTCGTGACGGTCGTAACAAAAAATCTAATTTTGAAAAACAATAAATAAAACAACGCAATTAAAAAAAATATGAAAAATCATAAAAACCATGTCAACTATGTAAAAGTATAAACTTAATAACATTATCGAAGTTCTCAATTATGGTTTTTTGGTACTGGGTTTGTTAAATTTAAAATTGGTAACTAAAGGCAGGCTGCTATATTTATTTATATTTTAATACTTTACTAAAGTTTAAATGGTTAATGCTCCCTGTTCCCAACATAAGTTTATAAAATAATTCTTTCAAAATAAAAATATCGATTTCAAAATTGTTTTTAAGCTTTTGTTGCCAATTTTTACTTGATTTTTTAGCTTGTTTTCATTTCTTTTGCGTTCTTTGATAACTTCCTTTTTTTTTTCCAACAACGCTTTTCCGTTTCTTGAAATCAAAATTCCAAAGTTTATGAACAACATTTCAGAAAAGAATGTATAATTTTTCAGGGTAATTACCCAGCAAAAACTAGACCTTTTCTAGAAAAATGGAAAACTTTATTTGTTAACTAAAACAATGTATAATAATGATTACCTCTGTTTGATCATCTATATTTTTTTCTTTGTTGATTATGCTTCATAAAAGTTAATTTGATTTCCTTTTAAGTAAAAAGTTTTTACTAAGAATGTTTTCTTGGTCTTTCATTAAACTCAAAAGCAGAGAAACAACTAAAACTTAATTATTCCACAACTTAAGTACATATTCTTATCGAATACTATCAGGTGCTTGTCCTTTTCTTAATAAGTTTAAAGTGAAGGTAAAAAAGGGTAAACATCGGAACACAATAGAATTTTTACTGCCTGTTGGTTTGCAAACAAAACAATCTCTGCTATTGCTGAGAGCTACTAAATCTTCTTTTTGGTAATCCTTCAAAGATTTAATACAAAATAAGTCACAAACTATTTTGAAAGCATACTCTAAATTATCCTTTTTCATTTTTTATATTGCATCTGAATAGCACTGATATTTTAATTTACTAAATTTTGGCGCATTTTTAAAATAAAACCCCCCTAAACTTTACGCTATTTCATCAAGATCAAAGAAAAGCCGCAAGAACATATTTGTTCCGGTAGATGATAAGTTACATTAGCGCAAAAACCAAAGTTTTCTCATCTGACTTCCCAAAGTTCACGGGAAAAAAAGTCAGACCAATTATCGTCTAAGCAATATTATGAGTAAACAAACTGCAAATGATTTTCAACTTGGTTTCAATAATAAAACCGTTTGTGCTGAAACTTTTTATATAGATGTCAAGAAGCCGTTATGGAAAAAAAAACATAGCGTGATGGTCGTAACGTACTTGTTACATTTTAATACTATCATCTGCTCTTTTTTTAAAAGCTCTTTTTAAAAAAAAATTAAAACAATGATTATGAACTTATATCAGCATCTTTACTTTTACTATATTTTTAACTTTATAAAGTCTGATACGACGCCTAAAAAAAACTTCTTGACTTTTTTTCGTGACGGTCGTAATGCATTAATTTGATTAACATAGTCTTTTTTTATACATAGTTGGAGTGCGTTTTTCTAAATAATATTCTACATAATGTTTAATATTGTCTTTAAGTTAAACTAAAAAGTAATAGCTGCATAAAAACGCAGCACATTAACCTTTCTCAACGCTTCACAACAGGACTATATAAAAACGTCAAAAATTGTTCATTTTATTTATTATTTTATTATTTCAATTTATTTGCATTTAAATAAAAATACAAAAAGGTGATACAGGTAATTGGAGAATTACTCTTATGTAACACCAAGTTTAAAACAGTAAACAGTGTCTCTGAATATTGTATGTTTTTAAATTTGATTTAAATAGAGACAATGAAGAGGAATACATCAAATAATCAGCTAAAGAGTTTCAAATCTTAGTAACTCTTTCACTGAAAAAAAATCTCCTTATATCATTGATGTATTTGTTACATGATGTTAATTTTTGGAAATGACATTTAGTTGAATAATGAGTAGGAGTGAGAGTGAAAAACTCAGAAAAAGGCAAATCAACTAAGTTGTGCATAATCTTATGTCATTCCGACATTCAAGAGAGTCAAGATTGAAGATATCAAGTCTTGAAGCATGATCTTTATATAGAATACAACACCGTTTGCAGACAGTTCTTGTATAATGTTTCTGGACCTTTTCTACCTAATGTATATCTTTTAGGAGATACGGATTCCACACAGGGGTACATGACTCAAAAAATTGGTTGCATATAAACTTTATAGGCTCTTATCAAAAGATGGGAATCATTACTGATGAAAGACTTTAAGAGTAATTAAGCACAAGAACTTGCTTTGCTAGCAATGTGAGAACAGTGTTTAGAAAATTTCATATTGGAAGAAAAATCTTAATATCTTGGATTGAATCAATTGATTCGATAGGCGTGTTGATATCCAATAAGTATGAATGTTCTGGAAATAGATTCTTTCCGTATCGCAGGTGAAAATACTTTTTGGTAGATATATTGAGTTGACAATTATTTGACCATTCTAAAATTCTCTTTATAGTATTTGCAAGGTTGATATTATTTCCGTCTTTTCTTGCTTGATACAACTTACTGTCGTCTGCAAAAAGCTTGATTCCACAATCCTCCTCAATACACGAGGTTATATCGTTTATAAAAATTAAAAATTAAATGGGTCCCAAAACACTTCCATGAGGTATTCCACGTTTTTCATGAATGCTGTTTGAGTATGAATCATTAATACAACCTTATATAACCTTCATTATCATTAATACAACATTATATAACCTTAATAACTTTAAAACAATGCTATGGTATGATAAAATGATCTTTTTAACCATTTTTTGGCTTAAAAGTATTCTTAAATTGTTAAAAAAAGAATTTATTGAGGTTAGCAAATGTTTTCCTAACTTTTTTTTTTTTCCTCTTTCTCGCTTAGATTTTTTGTTTAGTAAAAAAAATTTACTAAACAAAAAATCTACTAAACAAAAAATCTGAATTAAGTTTTAAATGCAGACACGAAATTGAGTACTTTTTAAAAAACAAGTGATTAGACTAAAATTATTCAAATTTCTAAAGAATTCTTTTCATGAATAATTTTTTTAATTTTAATTTAGTTGATTCAACTTTCTGGTTTCAAATTAGCTACAGTTATTACAAAATTAAATTAAATTCCCCATAATAATATTTTATTTTTTCACTAAAATAACAACAAACTATGACTAAAACAAAACCCCTCATCTTCTCTTCCACCTTCTTCTTACAATTATTTATCTTCTCTTCCACCTTCTTCTTACAATTATTTATCTTCTCTTCCACCTTCTTCTTACAATTATTTATCTTCTCTTCCACCTTCTTCTTACAATTATTTATTTTCTCTTCCACCTTCTTCTTAAAATTATTTATCTTCTCTTCCACCTTCTTACAATTATTTATCTTCTCTTACACCTTCTTCTTACAATTATTTATCTTCTCTTACACCTTCTTACAATTATTTATCTTCTCTTACACCTTCTTCTTACAATTATTTATCTTCTCTTCCACCTTCTTACAATTATTTATCTTCTCTTCCACCTTCTTCTTACAATTATTTATCTTCTCTTACACCTTCTTAGAATTATTTATCTTCTCTTCCACCTTCTTTTTACAATTAGTCTGAGAGAGTAAATAATTCATTACAAATGTTGAATGAAATCTTCTTAAAATTAGTAAATTTTCTGTTTAATTAATTGTTATAATTTTTTGCATTTAAAAAATGGTTTTTATATTTTATTTATTGTTTTTAACGAATTAATATTTATGTTATATAAAAATTTTTTGGATCATGAGTTTGAAATGTAAATATTGACAAATATATAAATAAATGTATGAATAATACTTACTTGACCCTTTGTTTAAAATGTGTTCATTTTTGAACTAAGTTTATTAAGCTACGTTGCAGTTGCTCTTAAAAATATGTTTTCTTTAGTGTGACTTTCGCCAACCAAATGTAATGCGTGTTGCACCTGCTCCGTTATATAATAGCTTTGTTGACGTTCACAAATTTATAGATGCTTTAACTCAAGTTTTATTGCACTTAAAGAGATGATGGAATTTTAAGCATATTTTTTAAATAAATTTTTCAGCTTTTATTTTTGCTCCCTAATATCTTCGAGCTCTTTAATGTTTTTATTGATGTTAGAGGTGATAATTAAATAATCTATTTAACTTTAATATAATTTATCATTCTAAATAAATAGTCATTTGGTTATAATTCAGATAAATAAACTTTATATGTATTGTAAATACTTAGGATAAATATATTTTTATGGTTTAAAATCTTTTTAATTTTTTATTTTTAAATCATAAAAAAATAAATTTACATCAGTGGTTTTTAACTTATTTACTTTTTCTCAGTTTTTTTAGTTAATTTTTTTTTTTTTAAGTTTATTTATTAAATTTGTTACTTTGATGACTTTTTATGAATTGGTATATTTTTATTAATAGGAATATTTTTTCAAAAATTTAAAAATATTTTTGTTTAACTTTATTCTTAATCGTCATTTTTATTTAATATTTGCATAAAATTTTTCATAAAAATGATGTTTATTATTAATTGCGTTCAATGTATTTAAAGTTAACGCTCTTACTTAATTTTTTTTTTTTTTTTTTTTTAGTTTTTTTATGTATTTGTAATAATACAAAGAGCTGAGAATTTTCATTCTCTGTTTTAAAAAAAAGGAGTTTATTAAAGTTTAAAACAAAACTCTAATAGAATAAGATTTACAAAAAGTTTGATTTGAGGCTGCTTACGTCTTGGAAATTTTGCGTCATTTTGTTTTTTGAATATTTTTTTTTTAATTTCAATTTTAAATTCTTCATTAACTCGATACACATATCTTAGTGGAAATAATTTATTTGAAAAATAATGTATACCAGAAACGGTTTTCATTTTCAAAGCCACGATACCTCGTTCAATTACAATCTAAGTTTTTAATATATCACAAAAAAGGTGTTAAACAGGCATGTCATAGCTTTTTGATGTTTATGATATTTTCCAGAGATGCAAACTTTTAATTTTGTAATATTGATCAGAGCCGGAGCCAGAGTTTTTACATGTTCGTTATTTTCCATTTCTTGAGTTTTACATGTTCGCTATTTTCCAGAAACGACGTAAATCCAAATATTTTTATTTTAATACTTATGTCAAATGAGAATGTGTTACAAAAAATTACGGTAATTGGAGTTTGAAGAACCTAAATTAAGGGTTCGGGGGTCCGTTTTTTTTTTTAATTTTTTGTAACACATCCTTATTTGGTAATAGTATTAAATGAAAATTTTTGGAGCTTACAACATGTCTGAACTTTTTGTACAGGCATGGTGTAAATTTCCAAAATTGAAATAAACACGTGAAAACTATAGTTCCGGCTCTGTTGATACTGTTATCATGTAAGAATGCTTTACAAAAAGCTATGGTGATCAAAGCCCGGTAACAATATTAACCAGGATAATCAAGTTTTGCTGTCTCAATGTAGAACAAAAAAAACTTTTTTTTGCAGTATTTTAAACTGTTTATTATTGGCTAAATAGAAAATGTAGCAGAATCTCATTCAAGTTTTGATTTAAGTCTCATTGCTTTGAAGTTAAATGATTTAAAACACTTTTGTGCTTTTGATAATAAATTAGCCAATACACTCTTTGAACTTAAAAATGCAGCATCAACACATTTTTGCTCTTGGTGTAACAGCAAAGAAAAAATGCAAGATTTTAAAACTCGCGGCGAGCTCAGAACACTGAGAAGTATCCGCTAATATTTACAAAACCGCTTTTAAAGGTTTTTAAAAAATCCAAGCTTTCTGCTGCGTTTTATATTATTTTCGATTACCGCCCACTTATTGGTCTGCCTTATGACGTAAAGGTTATGGAATTTTTACTTGACACAACTTCACCTCTTAGTGTAAATAGAAACAGAGTTTTCAATAATCTTAAAAAATCTTAGCAATCCAAAAATACCACTTAATTTGAAGATTAAAAAAACCAAAGTGTAGATTTTTAAAATGGTGGCTACATGGTGGTCAATTTAAAAATTGACAATATTCAGAACTCCTGGAAAATATTTTTGTGTATATATGTTTATACACAAAAATATTGTTTTAAATAAATATATATACACAAATATTTTTATACAGCAACCTTTTTTAAAACAGTTTTACTTTAAAGTTAAAAAAATATATCTTAATATACCGAGTAGCAAACAACATTGGCGCAATATTGTTTATATACTTTATACACTGTAAACAATATTGCGTAAATATTGTTTGTTACACGGGATGTATCTTTCGGAAATTTTTATTGATTATAAATAAATATATGTGTAAACATTTAGCTTTGTTGTTTAAATTATTCAGTTACTGAAAAACAGTTGAATATATCGAACCGGCTGAGACGTAATACTTAAGTCAAAATACGTCAAAAACATTTTTCAAGAGACGTTTTTGTATTTATAAAATCGAATTTTATAGTTGAACCAATGTTTCAAATAATATATTTAGACAGTGTTTTTTGTTACCCTATAATATTTAGTCTATAATAATTAGTCTATATTATTTTATCATTTTAGAGATAAAGGTGATTCCGAGTAATTTAAAGACAAGGTATTTTTGACAAAATGCTGTTAACTGATTTACGCGGTATTGCGTTTACGTTTAACTCTGAAAATTATAAGTTTGCGCGATATGTTTTTTTTACTTTGACCTAGCTTTTGATCTTGACCTTTCAGGTCAGGTTATTCTGCTACTGGTAACATGTAAATTAGTACATCCTGCTTCATGACCTGCTGCTTTCTAGGATACACTTTTTTAGGCAAAAGCTGGGAGAAGCTAATTCCGACTTAAAACACCTCCTGCCTTGGGGCTCCTGGTTAAGTAAGAGCTAGAAATGGTGTCTTGATAAAAATACTCATCTTGGGCAGACGTTAAATGCATCCGGCTGCTGTTTTATAGAATGCCTCCTAGTCAAAGACTTAAGGGGTAAACAGATTCTATCTGTTGACCAGCCTCGCACGCTTTTTTCATCTATTAGGCTGGCGTAGATGTATTTACATACATTGTTTCCAGTTTAGGATGTTTAATGCAGGATCTTCTTGACTCAATGGGTTTACTTGTGTATCTGTTTTTATGACTGCGCAACTGATTCTATAATCTCCTAATGAGGGGGCTGATTCCATCAACAGCTGTAAAGTATCAGAGTACAGAGCATAGCGGTTTCTCGATGACAAGACCATCGGTCTTCTGCATGTTTCCCGCATTCTTTAAAGTAATTTCTAATACTTTACAGTTTTATTTTATATATTTTCTGTACAACGTAACTTTGTAATTTTTTTAAATTTTACTATACTCTGTAAACGATTCTATTAAATATTACGAATTTGTAAAGATTAAAGAACAAAAAAAGTGCCATGTTGTGCATGGGTGTTGTCCCTGTTCATACCTTTGGTGTGCATTGTCAAGGTCACATTTGGAGCTCTTTATTACGGTATAGGGTAAATTAATAGTAATTAGGCAATTGTTCGGACTATTAAATAGTGTGTAAATCACTAATATTCGTGGTCTTTGAAGTAACTTTTCTTTTATTGAGTCTTATCTCTTGCAAATTTCATCAGATCTACTTGCTCTTTGTTAGGCAAATTTGAGTTCAGCTGCCTCATCCTGTGATCTTAGTGTTGATGATTTATATTCTTTAACTCGTAAATAGTTGCATGCTTGGTCTGGGCATTTACATTCGCAAGAACTAACTCATTTGCAGAGTTTGAATACACAGACTATTCTTTTATGCGCTTTCATTTAGCAGCACTTCATTCTATTGCCTTTCTCTTTGTTCTATATCGCTCTCCTTCTTATTAAAATTACCGAGTCCTTTCTCTTAATCTTTCAGCCAATAACGTTCTTGTTGGTGACTTTAATGCTCATCACACTAAATGGCTTGGCTCTAGTGTCAGTGACTCAGCAGTCCTTAAGGCCCACAACTATTGCTTTTCTCAATCTCTAACACAAAGTGTCAACTTTCCAACTCGCTTTCCAGACAACCCAAATCATTTACCTTTTCTACTCAACTTATGTCTTGTTTATAATCCCAGTCAGTGCTCACTTATTCCACATTATTCTTCCTTAGGTGCTTTTGATCACAGTTTGATATCTCTAAAATTATTATCTCACTCTTCTTCGTCATCAGAATCCCTTTACCATTGTATCTCTAACTTCCTTAAAGCTGACTGGGATCTTTCCGTAATTTTCTTTGTGATGGGAGAAATCTTTTGTCTTCCTGCTGACAGGAAGACTGGCATTGAATCTTTTATTCCCTCTAGACAATTCCAAGTCAAGCCTTACTCTTATCCATGGTTTTCCTCTCATTGTGCTGCTGCAATTTCCAATCATAACCATTACTTTAATATCTATCAGCAAAACAATTCTCCAGAAAACAGACGTCTGTTTACTACTGCTTGAAATCATTGTAGTTTTGTCTAACCGCTATTCTCAGGTCATGAAATCTTGTTTTTTATCTCTCAATCTCAAAAATTAGGCTCTTGTAACTTCTGGAGAATTCTGAATAATATCTATAATAAGGCAAGTCTGTTATTTCACCTCTCTTGTATGGTTCAGATTTTGTCACTTTACCTAAAGACAAACCTGAGTTGTTTGCTAAGAAATTCTTATTAATATCATCTCCTAATTCCACTCTTCGCGTTCTACCTAATGTAGCTGACAATCAAGTTGATCCATTGGTTGACGTTTGTATCACTCCAACTTTTGTATATAAAGTGATATCTTGCTAAGACTTATCTACAGTTTGTGTTTACAACAAACCTGTTATAAAAATGTTCTCCGGAGATTTTGTCTATGCTTACAAAACTATTTAACATGTGCTTTATCTTTATTTTTTCTTATCATTTTTTTTTTGTCTTGTTTTTCAGGTTGCTGGAAAGCAGCACCTGTTATCCTATTTTCAAAAGTTGTGGAGAGCGATCTGACTCATTTAACTACTGTCCCATCAGTCTTCTTACTATCATAAGCAAGGTTTCTGAGTCTTAAATTAACAAACACTTAATTTCTCATCTTATAAGTTTCTTTCTGATTATCTATATGGATTTTGATCTTCTCGTTCTACTGCTGATTTGTTAAGTGACTTGGAGTGTAAAAACATCGATTGACTTAAATAGGGATAGGTGCAGTGAAGTATACATGAGTTTATATTTTGGCATGCACTATTTTATATAAAAGAAAAGTTTCAATACTTATTTAATTAAGGTAATTTATATAGAAA